ACCAAAAAAAAAAAAGGTTGATAACTTAGAGGGTTGACATGTTGTGGGGTTGTTAACCAATGTCATAAAACAACATGTGTACTTCTGTTTCATGAGAAACTATTTGTTCTGTAAGCCTTCACCTGAAGTACAATAAAATAAATAAATAAATAAATAAAAAGAAAAGAAACCTTCTTTGGTAATGGTGTTCTAAAGGTAGCAATGGTAAATTTTGTAATGTGGGTGAATAATATTTCTTTGAAACAATATCTTCGATTCTCTTGTACTCTGCTGTCTTGGGGGCTATTTTTTAAAGGGACTAAAATAAAATCTTCCCAGTGGTGACTTTTAAGCAAAACTTGTGGCAGCTATAGTAAGAAGAGCTTTAGAGAAGACTCTCTTTAATGATTATAATTTTCTTCCCAATACATCTCATAGGTTATATTTAATGATATATCTTTTTAAATGTAAATGAAGGATGAGAAATTAACAATCAGCCTTTGGAAAGTGAGTAATTGTGACTTTTTCATTGCTAAAAAAAAAGGATTACATGCCTAATGAGTTGGAGTGCAAATTAAATATATATATATTATAATTTGAATATCCTTATGGATTTTTTTCTGGTATCACTAAAAAAAAATTAGATCAAAAATAAATTCTTCAATGGAAATGGCTCCAAGAAAGAAAGAATCTAAAATAATGTAAAAGCACAAGTCATTCAAATCTATTAGAAAATTTTATGATGGTATATGCATATCATCACATTTTGATGTTAATAGCACTAAGTAATTGCTGTGTATGAATGCTTTCACTGGAAAAAAAAATGAGGTAAAAGACAAACTATTTTTGTCTCTAGTTCAAGATTTCTTAATATCGGAAGAAGATGTAATTTAACTGACGCTGTCCACTGCCACAGAAAGTTCAGGTAGCCTGGAAATGTATATTTACAAAGAATCAGGGCCAAAGGATTCATTCGGAACAGGGAAGAATTTGTTCAAGACTTTTTTTAGAACATCCATATGTTTGCCTGCATGAATCAAATTCTCTGTCCCAAGAAAAGCTTCAGGTTGCCTCAGCAGCAAAGTCAATTGTCATTATCTGTCTTCTCTCCACAGTCTGAGGGCCATGAATAAGTCAAGGATATCTACTGTAACACATTTTGTCCTGCTGGGCTTTCCTTGGTCCTGAAAAAGGAAATCATCCTTTTCTTGATGGTTTTGTTGATCTACAGCTTGACTTTAACTGGGAATATGGCCATCATTTGTGCAGTAAGATGGGACCCACGACTCCATACCCCTATGTACATGCTCCTGGCCAACTTCCCCTTCCTAGAAATCTGGTATGTGACCTGCACAGTTCCCAACATGCTGGTTAATTTTCTTTCCAAAACCAAGAACATTTCCTTCTCTGGATGCTTCATTCAATTCTACTTCTTCTTTTCCCTGGGCACAACTGAATGCTCCTTCCTCTGTGTCATGGCTTATGATCAGTACCTGGCCATCTGCCACCCACTGCATTATCCCTTCATCATGATTGGGAGGCTCTGTGGCATTCTGGTGTCTCTTTGTTGGCTCATCGGTTTCCTTGGACATTTAATTCTCCTTTTCTTCATTTCCCAACTACCTTTTTGTTGTCCCAACATCACTGATCACCTCCTGTGTGATGTGGACCCACTGATGGCCCTGTCCTGTGCCCCTAAACCCATCATACAGCATGTATTCCACTCTGTGAGCTCTCTTATTATCTTTCTCACCATTTTCTACATCCTTGGGTCTTATTCCCTGGTGCTCAGAGCTGTGATTCAAGTCCCTTCTTCAGCTGGTTGGCAAAAAGACTTCTCTACCTGGTGATGTATGTGACTCCCACATCTGGTAATTCCATTGCTATGCAGAAGATCATCACACTGATATACTCTATAGTGACACCAGTCTTAAACCCTATCATCTACAGCCTACGAAACAAGGACATGAAATATGCCCTCCATCATGGCCTTTGTGGGATGAGAATTATCCAAAGCTCATGAATAGGTTTTGTATAACCCAAGTAATCTATTACTGTAAGTGGGAGAATAATCCTGTTTCTCCAATTCAAACTGACTTTGCTTTATTCATAACCATCACAGATCTTTTGTGCAAAGCAAAATTCATCATGTATTGATCATATGTTGATTCCCTTTTAGTTTCAGAAATGTGTTTCCATGGGGAGAAAAGATTAGCCCCCAAAAAATGGTAAAAATAACTCTTAAAAATCTTAATATTTACCAAGGAAGGTTTTTATTTGTTTAATGTCCACTCAACTTTGGAAAGAGAAATGAATCAAATTATTTTCTTATATGGTTTTCTACCACTTGTTTTAAAAGGCATGTAACAATATGCCTGTTGTCTTGTATTTTTGGCAGAAACTCCACACATCAATGTTGGAGATACTAAGAGATTATGAATTGGTGTCTCACAACTCTTAGCTCATCATCCTCATTAACAGTGTACAAATGGAGACTGGAATTTTGATGGAGGCCATTAGTAAGAATATCTTTGGTGAGAGTCATTAGTGTGCTACGTGATCTCCCTAAGCAAAGTGAGTGGTACATCAAGAACACCATTCAGAGGGCTTGATTTTTTTTCCGTGGAGTTTGAGGGACACCAGGCCTGTCCCTGGATTCTATCTGGAAAAAAAAAAAAAGTATAAAGGCTGCTGAGGAGCTAGCTCTGAGAGCAGAGCAGGGAGAAATGGGCTATAATGGGAGCAAACTGAATTCCATCAATAATAGGGCAAATATAGAATAGTCACATTTGGCCTAGGTTGACCCCATGGAAGGGTAACTACTTTGGGCCATCTTGACAGGGTTCCTACCCAGAAGTACTATCTGGCAAATAAGGTGATGCCAAAAGAGAATCTGTGTGGAGCGGGTCACCAGAATCCAGGAATGAGGAGGAAGTCATAAGTAGCCAGCCAGGGAAGCAATGTCCACATCAGAGAATTGCATTTGGGGCAGTCCCCAATCCCCCAAAAAAGCACTCCATGACAGTAAACATTTGGACTTTTGCCACAGCTAGAAGCCAACAGTACCTGAATACACATATGCCAGTGAAAGAAGAACTTCCAGGCTTTACTTCTCCCTCACCCCAAACCTAAATAACCAGCAGCAGCCTAGTATGTGAGAGAGGGGGAGTGGAAGAGCAGGTGGGAAGAAGCAAATCAACCCTAAGTCAGACCCAGATGGGGGAGTAAGTTTTAGTTTTGATAAAAATTAAAATTTTGGTTTGGACTTTCCAATATCTGGATAAGGAGACCATATATTAATACTAAGAGTCATTAGAAAAGCTATCATATCTGCCCAAGATATTATCCAGGAGTAGAAACAAATAGGACATCAGAAAATGTTTGAAGTAGAAATGATCAGTAAAAATAAAATTACTTTCAGTTTGTACCCACCAAGCCCAAATCACCCAATAATATAGTTACAGGTGCGAATGTTTAAACATTGCTGTAGCCTAAGAGAGGAAGAAACCCCTCACCTAGGGGAACCCAGTGGTGCCTCCTTGGCATTCCCTGGGCAACAGGAGAGCACTGCACTTAAGGGTGGCAGAAGACCTAAAAAGGGTGGGAAAATGATCAGAAAACATGCTTAAGAACACATTAAAGACAAGCTTGAACTATCCATCACTGTTTTGCCTAAAGTCAGCCCTAAGGATTCAGTCATTCAAGTGAACTCACTAGCTGAAAGGACAGGAAATATTTTATATAGAACTCAATAACTTAAACATATCCTACTACTGCAACTTTTGATGTTAAATATGTAGCTTCTCCTGTCAAACACCTATTCTTTCATTAAGATTCAACTCAGAAATCACTTCCACCAAAAAACCTCCCTAACACCCCAGGCTGGACTTGTATCTCTCCTTGGTGCATCAGAACACACCAAGTGCATATTTCAATCATTATACATATAGACTCTTTGAGGTGAGTCTATGTGTCTCTTTCCCTAGACGATGAAGCCTTTAAGGACGGGATCAGTGTCTTATCTTTTTATCCCAAGCATCTAGCATGATACCTAACTCATGGTAAGTATAAGAGAAAGAATCATTTGTAGAATTGGATGAATGAGCTAGTTCTTGAATTAGTCCTCACTAGAATTAAATATGTTTTAGTTGAAAAATCATTAAGTGATTGTTTAGTTATTTTAAATATTTAAGAAACTTACTTGTTTTCAAACCCACATTATGATATGCATCTTATTACAAAAGTAGTACATACTTTGTATTAATTATATTATATATATTCATATATATATCTTCACAGCCAACACTAGGGCCTTGGAACACTTTATATACCTGCGTGGTGAAGAATTACTTTACCCAAAGAATTTGGGCTTTGTCCCTGATTCCGGGGAGGTGACCTCTAAACCCTTAGACTTTCTAGAGTGATTGGAGCGTCAGTGCTTTAATCACACCTGGAGTTTATGCTAATGAGGTGGCTCATGTTGAGTGAGGGCTGGCTATCTCAGAAATACCCACCTGTGATATCTGTCAGACCTCCGGGTTGGGGAGGGGGACTGATATTGAATTCAGTCACGTGGCCAATGATTCAATCAATCATGCCTATGTAATGAACCCCAATAAAAACTCTGGACACTGAAGCTCAAGTGAGCTTCCTGGTTGGTGACAGATAGACATCAATGCACCAGGAGGGAAAACACATCCTGAGGACAAAGAAGCTCTGTGTTGAGGACCCTCTTGGGCCTTGTCCTAGACATCTCTGCTTTTGTATTCTTTTAATAAAACTGTGTTCCTAAAAAAAAAGTAGTACATGCTTATTACAAAGTTTTCAAACAATACAAAAGCCTATAAAGTTAAATGTAAAAGCCCCTATCGTCCTTCTCCACAATCCCACTTCCTACAAATAACAAGTTTAGTAGCAGTTAGGTTTCTATGAATATACAAGCCAGCAAATGCATACATATATAAAAGTTTTATTTTCTTTAAACTGATTTTATTATACAGACTATTCTGTAACTTTTTTTTTTAATTCTCTTAACATTTTGTGAGGTTCTTCACAGGCCAATACAAATAGATATATTTCATTCTTTTTCACAGTTGAATAATGTCCTATTGTATGAATTTATCCCAACTGATTTAATTATTCCCCTATTGCTAGACACACATTATTTTACCATGTTTTCTTCTCACAGAGATTCAGGCTATTAAAAGAAAAATTTCTGGTGATCTGCTCTCTTAAAGATTACAGCCTAGGAAACCCTATGGCACAGTTCTACTCTGTCCTATAGGGTCCCTATGAGTCTGAATCAACTCGAAGGCACACAACAACACTACTGTGGTGACGAGAGAGAGGGACCAGAGAGAATCTGAATCTCCTACTCCACTGGGAAAAAGAAATGGGAAGTTTGTTTCATTTTTTCATAGTGTGTATGCTACTTTTTTTCTTCTTACTGTACTATAGATGAAGGTTTACAGAGCAAAATAGTTTGTCATTAAACATTTAATATACACATTGTTTTGTGACATTGGTTTCCAACCCCACAACATGTCAACACTCTCCCCTTCTTGACCTTGACCTTGGGTTCCCCATTACCAGCTTCCTAGTCCCCTCCTGCTTTCTCATCTTGCCCCTGGGCTGGTGTGCCCATTTAGTCTCATTTTGTTTCATGGGTCTGTCTAATCTTTAGCTGGAGGGTGAATCTCAGGAGTGACTTCATTACTGAGCCATAAGAGTATCTGGGGGCCATACTCTCTGAGTTTCTCCAGTCTCTGTCAGACCAGTAAGTCTGGTCTTTTTTGTGTATGTGTGAGTTAGAATTTTGTTCTACATTTGTCTCCAGCTCTGTCTGGGACCCTCTATTGTGATCCGTTAGAGTCATCGGTGATGGTAGCCCGGCATCATCTAGTTGTGCTTGATTCAGTCTGGTGGAGGCTGTGGTACTTGTGGTCCATTAGTCTTTTGGACTAATATTTCCCTTGTGTTTTTGGTTTTCTTCATTCTCCCTTGCTCCAGACGGGGTGAGACAAGTGGAGTATCTTAGATGGCTGCTCACAAGCTTTTAAGATCCCAGACGTTACTCACCAAACTGGAATGTAGAACATTTTCTTTATAAACTATGTCATGCCAATTGAGCTAGATGTTCAAGACCTGGGAAGCTTTTAAAAGAAAGTTAAGGGGGGTTGATCACTGGGAAGGGTGAGTGATTTATCAAGTTTGTAAGGCCATTTGGCAAGTAAGGCCATTTGGCCATTTTCTTATGCTAAGGCTGACTGAATCCTGGGAGACTTAGGAAAAGGGAGAGGGAGAAAAGGACCTCTCTAGTTCAAAAAAAAAAGAAAAAAATTTGTTGCCATCTAGGCAATCCCAACTCATAGCGACACTGTAGAACAGAGAAGAACTGCCCCATGGGTTTCCAAAGCTGTAATCTTTATGGAAGCAGACTGTCACAACTTTCTCCTGGTGGGTTCAAACTGCCAATCTTTTGGTTTGCAGCCAAATACTTAACCACTGCACCACCAGGGCACCTTCTTCTCTAGTTATCTATTGCTGTCAAGTTGATTCCGATTCATAGCAAGTCAATAAGACAGAGTAGAACTGTCCCATAGGGTTTCCAAGCAGTGGCTGGCAGATTCGAACTGCTGACCTTTTGGTTAGCAGCTGAGCTCTTAACCACTGCACCACCAGGGTTCCTCTTCTCTAGTTAGGTGCCTGGAAATTATAAAGACTGAGGGAAAAAGGATGGTTAGGGAGATAAAGCAGGAAAAGGCCCATCTTAAGCTTATCTAGAGTCCCTGGGTGGTGCAAACAGTTAACACAATGGGCTGCGATCCTAATGCGTGGCAATTGGAATCCAACCACAGCTGCCTTGGAAAAAGGCCTGACAATCTGCTTCCAAAAATCCAGCCAGTGAAAACCCTGCAGAGCACAGTTCTACTCTGACAAACATGGGATCACCACGAGTCGAAGTCGACTTAACGACACCTGGTTTTAAAACTTGTTTAAAGAGGAGATCATTAAATCACTCTTGGTCAGTTGTTTGCAGTAAACTGGTCTCTAGAACACAAGAGTGGAGAAATTTATTTAACCACCACTGCTTTCCGAGATCATAAGTCTCAAGTAAAATTTAATTTTGTCATAATGCACATTAAAGTTTGAGAACCTTTGGCCTAGACTGTCTTTGAATATCAGTTTCACATACAAGCTGGCGGCACAGGTTATCAGGGAAGATTTTCTCATTGCTCATCTCCATCACCTCTCCCCTGAAGACATGTTTCAAAGAAGAAGTAGACTAAGAGAATCCTCGCAAGAAGCTGCATTTTTTTAGAAGAAAAACAAAAGCCAAAAGATAGAAAATGGAAGTAAATCTCTGCTCATATTTGCACTGATTTCAAATTCCCTACTGCAGAGCCCTGGAGCCCTGGTGGTGCCGTGGTTAAGAGCTCAGCTGCAACCAAAAGGTCAACAGTTCAAATCCACCAGGCGCTCCTTGGAACCCCTATGGGGCAGTTCTACTCTCACCTACAGGGCACTATAAGTCAGAATCCACTCAACAGCAATGGGTACTGCGGAGCCCTGGTGGCACAGTGGTTAAGAGGTCGGCTGCTAACCACAAATTTGGCAGTTTGAACTCACCAGTCTCTCCTTGGAAACCCTATGGGGCCGTTCTACTCTGTCCTATAGGGTCACTATGAGTCGGAATCGACCCAACAGCAACGGGTTTCGGTTTTTGTTTTTGGAGTGAACTCAGAGGGGAACCTGATAATTTGACTAGTCAATTAAATAGCTCCTGTATATAGACAATCTTGGAATTCCTTCCATATCTATTAAGTAATTATTTATTACCAGGTCACTCAAGGCAGTTCCTACCTAGTACCAATTACCTGGTCATTACCGTGAACAAGTCCGGGAAAAATGACTGGACTTAATTCTAAAGCGACCAACAGAATACAGATTCCTGTTTCTCTGTGTTGTCACATTCCATTTAAGATAGAAAGGAAGAATTTGTTCACAAACATCTCTCAGTTTCGGAGTTAGATTCATGAGCAAAATTACCACTTAATTTCACTGATCTCCACAAAGGTGATTCCTTAATGGAATGCAATTCTCTTTGCAATAAAACCCAAAACCAAACCAAACCCATTGCCGTTGAGTAGGCTGTGACTAATAGTGACCCTATAGGACAAAGGGTTTGACACCAGGGCTCCTTTTGCAATAGAAAGCCTCCTGAAATTTATCTGGTTATTTCCCCCTGCTTCTCTGTTTCCAGGAGCCCTGGTGGTACAGTGGTTAAAGCACTTGGCTGCTAATCAGAAGGTCGGCAGTTCAAACCTACCAGCCACTCTGTGGGAGAAAGATGTGGCAGTCTGCTTCCATAAAGATTTTCAGCCTTGGAAACCTTACAGGGCAGTTCCACCGTGCCCTATAGGGTCGCTATGAGTCGCAATTGACACGACGGCAGTGAGTTTGGGGTTTGGTTCTCATTTCCTTAACTATAGCCACACCCTGGAAGCTAGTCTACTAAAACCCAGGTGATCCTCAAGGGTTGGAAAGAGGATGCACTCCAGGGGAAACTTGGGAAGCCACAGAGACCACCTGGGGAGAGACACAGGATTTTTACAGTAATCCCTGAGAAGAAATATAGATTTGAAACTGCTACACCTGGTAAGAGTCTCAGCAAACTCCTAGAAAACAAGACTCTGGAGTCTCCAGAAGTAAAGGAATATATAATACCCTCAGCTGGGGTTTTCCTCATCAGAGGCAGTGAGAAGGTGATGCTTGATGCTGAAGTTATGTTCAAGTCTACCGTGCCTATCCGTTTCTCCAAGCTGAGCCAGGAAAGCCATCATTACATGTAAAAGAAAAGGAATGATTTCCATATTACAACCATTGCTGTGATAGACTACCAAAAGAAAAAAACAAACCTGTTGCCATTGAGTCGATTCCAACTCATGGTGACCCCATGTGTTACAGAGCAGAACTGCTCATAGGACTTTCTTGGCCGTAATCTTTACAGAAGCAGATCACCAGGCCTTTCTTCTGCGGTGCTGCTGGGTGAGCTTGAACTACCAGCCTTTAGGTTAGTAGCTGATAGCAAACCATTTGTGCAAACCTTTGTGATGTACTACAGAGTGCCTTTTACTGTATAAATCTGATTATCACCATTCTTCTGGAGAAACTTAAAGGAGGCAGTATAAAAGTTCAATATGTAAATACAGGACACATATTCACTGGGTGACCTTAGAAAAGTCATGTTCCCTCTCTGAGCTTCATCTGCAAAATGAACAACTAGAATAGATCATCTTACCATTTCTTCCAATTCTGTGATTTTATGATTATTAGGGATCATTTTTCTGAAAATAAGCTCATTTTCTAGGAGTAATCAGGTGGTATGATTCTTCTCTCAGGCTACCTGAGCAGACCACAGTATGTGAAGTGAGGGGCATTTAGGAGGAGGCTATTTAATAAAGCAAGCACTGTTGAGGTGGGAGGACTGATGAATTGATGATTGATTGGTTGGTTTTTTTGTAATGGAAAGGAGTCTATGAAAGAGCTGGTCTTCTAGTTTGTAGCTTACTACAGTGACTTAGGAAACCCTGGTAGTACAGTGGTTAAGAGCTATGGCTGCTAACCAAAAGGTTGGCAGTTCAAATCCACCAGGAACTCCTTGGAAACCTTATGGGGCAGTTCTACTCTGTCCTATAGAGTCGCTATTAGTTGGGATCAACTTGATGGCAAGAGGCTTGGTTTGGTTTTGGTATAGTGACTTATGAATCCCAAAAGCATGAGAAACAGCATGTTTGTGGCATAAAATGGTGAATATTCCATTCTAATAACCTAACTATTCCCAGATAGTAATTTTAGAGGCTTTAGAGGGCAGGACTTACGCAGAACCTCGTGAATTCAGTTCATTTCATCAAGGTTGAAACTGAAAATTGATTATTTGGGCTCTTCTGTTCAGCCCCCCTTACTTATCTGCACTTTCACCAAAGACTACAGGAAAAATTCTGTTGTTAACAGATCAGTAACAGGGTACAGTGGTAGAAAAGATGAAGTTGTCAGTATAGAACCAAGAGTGTCCTGAACCGTCATTCACGTCAAGCAGGCATGGTTCATTTCTCAGAACAAAGGATGGGAAGCTCAGATAAATTATTCTGGTCTCTGATTTAAATCTGTGAGCCTGGACTTCATTCCCAACCTGTAGCAGGGAAGGAAATTTATTTCTGCTTCATAAATAAAAATCTGGGAATCATCTATTGAGCACCTTATTCAGGGAAGATGGAAAACAAATGTGTTTTGAATTTATTACTGATTGGAAAAAGAACAACTTCATAACTTCTTTTTGCTCCTTTTTTATGCCTCCTTAAAGACAACCTGCAACAGGGGACTAATGATGTTGGAGTCCAGATCTTCATTCCAAAGCATCTTTTTTCCTTCTTTGCCTTTCAAAGTTTTTTCTCTTCCATTCCTGACAAAGTTGTGGCTGGTGACCTCCAATACAGAAGGCTGGAGATCTTAGTTCAACAAGAAAACTCAACATCAAAACTACCATTTTATTTTTTTGTTTAAGACTCTTAATTCAGGGCTTTATGAACATTAATCAATTATAAGACTAATCTGTTGTTTAAATACATATATTTGTGCATTTTGTTTGCCCAACTCTTACAATAAAATTGCTACCCCATTTGTTCTCAGAGTTGTTTGCTCAATTCTTAAAATTACTACCCCATTTGTTCTCAGATCCCTTTAGAAAACTCCCTTGTTTTAATCACCTAAAAAGACTCACTAAATAAACCAAACCTTTGTATTGAAAGCATTATTTTCTTTATTTCAACTAGGTAGGATCTGAATATGAAAAATAGTATAGATCGTTTCTGTATAGTATGTATAAAAAAACCTGAAAATAAAGAATTGCAAAAGTTAGAGATCTTTTTCTAACTTGTTCTTATTTTAGAACAAAGATATTCATTATGCTGGGTTTTTGTTTGTTTTGCTTTGTCTTGTTTTTAGGTGTCACTCAACTGGTTAGAGTAGTAAAAAGAAAATCTTTAAAGGAAAATTGAAGAACAGCCCTAAGTCTTGGGTATAGTGATGTCTGTGACAATTAGACTATTCTGAAAGGCCAGTGTCCTAGTGTGGGTTTTATCTCCATACATCAGCCAACTAATTCTGTTGCCAAAGGCTTAATTCAACCTCACACCAGCTGTCCTCAAAATATATATTCTTATTTGTGGTTTTTTGTTTGTTTTCTTTTGTTTTGTTTTTAACAAGGTGGGCTAGATAAGAAAAAGCAGATGAGCATAAAGACCTATTATCTACACTGGAAAAACAAGTCAAAAGCAGAAAACGTCTTAAGCATCAAAAGGAAAAAAACGCATCTGGCTATACCACTGGCATGGAAAATTCTAGCTGCATTGGATTCTGCCATAACAATACTGAGATTTAGTGCCACAATAAATTTAAAATAAGGTGGGATTTGTTCCCAACTGGTCTCAGAATACGTCATGTATTTTCCATTATAGGTCAAGCTCTCTTCTCAATAAAGTCTATGAGATACACAGGAAGCAGAGCAACTTGGATTAAACTCATTTCTTTTTTCTTCATAGGTTTAAGACTCATGAACAGGTCAGCAACACACACTGTCTCCTGGGATTCCCTGGTTGCTGGGACATACAGATTTTCCTCTTCTCATTGCTTTTGGTGGTTTATGTCTTGACTCTGCTGGGGAATGCAGCCATCATCTGTGCAGTGAGATGGGACCCACGACTCCACACCCCCTTGTATTTTCTGCTGGGAAACTTTGCCTTCCTTGAGATCTGGTATGTTTCCTCCACTGTTCCCAACATGCTAGCCAACATTCTCTCTAAGATCAAGACCATCTCATTTTCTGGTTGCTTCCTCCAGTTCTATTTTTTCTTTTCCCTGGGCACTACTGAATGTTTCTTCCTGGCAGTAATGGCTTATGATCAGTACCTGGCCATCTGCCTCCCACTGCACTACCCCACCATCATGATTCGGAGGCTCTGTGGCATGCTGGTGTCTCTCTGCTGGCTTGCTGGATTACTTGGCTACCCAATCCCAATTTTCTTCATCTCCCAACTTCCCTTCTGTGGTCCCAATATCATAGATCACTTCCTGTGTGACAGGGACCCACTCATGGCTCTGTCCTATGCCCCAGCCCCTATTACTGAATTTATTTTCTATACTCAGAGCTCCCTTGTCCTCTTTTTCACGATTATGTATATTCTTCAGTCCTACACTCTGCTACTCAGAGCTGTTTTTCAGGTCCCCTCTGCAGCTGGCTGTTGAAAGGCCTTCTCCACATGTGGCTCCCATTTAGTTGTGGTGTCTCTTTTCTACCGGACAGTCGTGGCAATGTATGTGAGTCCCAACTTTGATGCAGAAGATCCTTACACTGGTATATTCAGTAATGACACCTCTCTTTAATCCCCTAATCTATAGTCTTCGTAATAAGGAAATGAAATTTGCCCTGAGAAATGTTCTGTGTAGAATGAGAACAAGTCAAACCTCATGGGTCAAAGATGAAGAACAAGGTGTCCATTATTCCCATGGTCTTTTAGTCCTCACTCTGAGGAGTTAGTGGCCAGATATTTCATCTGCTGTGTCCAACTTTAAATACCTTTCCTGTACTGATCTACTTAAACCTTAATTCACTGATTTTCAACGAGTGAAATTTTTTTAATGTCTGTCCTTATTGGAATGATGAAATGCAATTGTTACCTGAGAGAAATTAGACTTTGGTATATCATCGTTTTTAGGGCAAACCTAGTAACCTTTACTGAATAATTAAGGTGCAGTGACTTTTAACCAGCCAGGGATATTTCTAAACCTAAACAGACACTCCTTTCTTATACCTAGTCTAACAATATTATCTAATCACCCTCTCTTTCTATTAAAAGAAGGAGGGGGGGAAAAAAAACTATGACCAGAAGAAACTCTTTGAACAGATTTTCTTAGAGGTGTAGTTCCCTTGTCACAAGTTTGAAGTAAAACTTCGATACATGCTAAATAGTAATTTGTTGAAGTTGCCTTAACACTTCTGTCCTTATACTTACCACATTATGATGTAATTTATTTATTTACATGAACCTCCCTTTGAGGGAGCTCCTTGAGGACAGGAATTACCTTTTTCATTTCTGGATCCCCAACACAGTGAGAGAGAGAAAAGCATTTTTTGACACCCAGGAACTGGCCTAACACTATCAGGTCCTGGCGTTGAGAGGAGCTGGTCCGTCACTCACAGTTAGACTGGCAGAGTGTTCTCTGTTGAATATAAACAATTTCACAGAACACCAATCTCAAACAAGGCCACTCTGTGATCAGGATGGATCAAGACAAAATCAAGACCACTCCATAATCATGTCTGAGAAGAGTCAAAAACAAGAGCACTGTTCAAACCGCAAAAAATGACCAAACATCCCTCTTTCTGCCTTATATGAAAGACTGCTTTTTCTTCACCAAGTATAGCTTTAACCCAACTTCATTGCTACTGCCTTACAGATAAAAATTAAGATGACAAATCATAAATTTTCCTCTACTTTCTGTCAGCATCCAGAGAAAAAACTCAATTCTTTAAACTCTCCACAAAATCACCTAACACAAGCCCAAATCACATAATAATTACTTTCTAACACCCTGACACGCACCATGGTTTATCATGGCATAGGTTCTCCCTCATTACAACAAGCTAATAAACCCAATTTCAACTTTGTTCAACTACAGGTATGATATGGTGATCTTTCATATGATGGAAATCAAAAGTAGTTCAAAACTCAGCATATAATAAGAGCTTAAATATGTTTATTGAATATTTTCTATCTCAACTTTTTTACTTACAAAAGTAATATGGGATTGTTGTAACAAATTAAAGCAATGTAAAAGTGTATAAAGATAGTGGATTTCCCTTTTTCACTCCCATTCCCATCAATCTTTCTCTGTGCTTCTCAGAGTCAATATATCTAAATTTCTCTGTCTGGTATTCAATGCCCTTCATAATATGGCCCCGATAAACCTATATTATTTGTTTCCCACTGCTTCCCAGCATGAACCCTCAGATCTAGTGGGGCCGTTCACCTGACTGCTCCACTCTCTATTATCTCTGCACCTTTGCTCAGGCTGCTCTTTTAACCCAGAGAGCCTCACCTCATCTTCTGCTATGCAACTTGAGAAAGACAGTTAACACTTACGATTCCTAGGGTCTTATTTTGTAAAATGGCTACAATTTATATCTTGTAAGAATGTCATGAGGATTAAATGAGACAATTTATGTAAAGGCCAAAGCACAGGAAGAGACAAAAGGCTCTCAGCACATGTTCATTCCCCTCTCCTTAACTACCTTTTGTGCCTCAGATTAACCACAACTTCCTCCTCGAATGATTTTGTGTCTACAGGTGACTGGCCTGAGTAGAGATGAGGGTTCATGTTAGAAAGCATGGAAAAAAAATAATATAGATTTTAAAAAAAAACAGTTACTGTCCAGTCAACTCTGACTCGTGGATACGCCATGTGTATCAAAGTAGAACTGTGCTCCATAGGTTTTTCAATGGTTGATTTTTCGGAAGTAAATCACCAGGACGTTGAGGTGTTTCTGGGTGTCCTCACACTTCCAACCTTTTGGTTAGCAGCCAAGCACATTAACCTTTTGCACTATCCAGGGAATCCCAATATAGGGCCATGTTATGAAGGATGATGAATGCCAGACAGAAGAATTTAGATATACCAACTCTGAGGAACAGAGAGAAGGACTAATAAATTGGAAGAAGGGAGGAACAGAAACCTAGGTAACCTCCTTCATGACCATAGGTATCCATGACATCCAAATCTGCCACCTGTTCTATTTCAATAAGTTACATCACCTGCGCCTCCACACCTCCACCCAAATGTTCCCAGAAAAAGGAATAACTGACAACAAACTACTGCCGCTGAGTCTTCTGAGAGATGAGTGTTTGGAACAATAACTTTTCTTGGTGTGGCCATGAGTTAGGAGCTGACTCGATGGCAATAACAGCTTTTACAATGAGTCTCAGAGTTACTAATCAGCTATTGGATAAACAATTTCTGAAGATGGAGAACTGTGGTGAAACATAAAACCCATGACAATGAGAATAGATTTCTTCATTCTCGCCCACTTATCCTATCCCTCTTCCTATCATTTCTCCACTTTTGCTTTCTGAATTCTCTAAAATTTTAGTCCTACAAATTTTCCACCATTGTAGGACGCATGATTGTACCTAACCACCTGTTTTGCTGCCCTCTAGTGGTCACTATGCTTCTATTGCATGCCTAAGCATAAGAGGAAAAACTTCAACCCACCCAAACATAAAGTGGAAAGGAATTTAATTTATTAATTTAATCTTCTAGTTAACTGACCAGAAAAGCCTTTTTATATTGATTATTAAAACCTTTCTTCTTTTGGACCTAGATATATCAAAAATGGAGTCCCCGTGTTGTGCAAACAGTTAATGTGCTAGGCTGCCAACCAAAAGTTTGGAGGTCCAAGTCCACCCACAGACGCCTCAGAAGGAAGGCTACTTCCAAAACATCAGCCATGGAAAACCCTATGGAGCACCGTTCGGCTCTCACACACACGAGTCAGAGCTGAGTCGACAGCAACTGATATATTGACAATAATTTAATCTTTCACCCCATAAGAACTCAGGATGTTTAATGTGGTGGGACAAGCAGTGAGCAGGCAGTCAGTCGATGAGGGTTCCATTCTCAGCTCTATCACCAACTAGCAATGTGTTTTATAAATCACTTCACCTCTCTGGCCTCAGCTTCTTTATCTGTAAAATAAGAAGCTTGAACTGAGTGATGTTTCTAGGGTTCCCTATATTCATTCATCTTTCCCTCAAAATATTTGACCTATTTGTTGTTTTTCATTGCCAACATATATTCTGGTGAGCTAGAATAATATTTTGAGGTATTAACCAAGTTTCTCCATGCCCCTTCCCATACCCAATATTTCCTCATACTTTTACCCTCCTTATTTTTAGAGCTAAAGTCATTGTCTCAGGAGAGGAATGGTGCCTTAGAAAAGAATAAAGATACTTTTAAATTTCAGAAGCTAAAGTCTTTAATTTGCAGCAGCCCAGGTTTTTTAACTTTGAAAATTCTGACAGGATTGAGACCTAAAATTTAATCCATGAAAAAAATCAGGAAGAGGAGATGAAAACCAGTATGTACTGTAACACTAATTTCTGTAATGAATAAAGCCTAAACTTTCTGTGGTTTAACATAATAGAAGTCTATTTCTCATTCACCTAACAGTTAAAGCAGTTTTCCTCCACCAATTTCATACTAGAATGCATGTGCTATCTAAAAGAAGAGTCTTGTCATGAGTTTTTGAGATGATATGTTATATCATTTGATATGTTATATCAATCGAAAGTATGTGAATGACTCTTTGAAGATTTACCGAAGTTCTTAAGTTTTTTAATCTATCAAAACTTAGTATTAAGAAAACATGAAAAATGGGAAAGATCTGAACAGATACTTCACAAAAGAAGATATATCAAGGGCAAATAAACACATGAAAACATTATTTGTCATTACAGAAATGAAAATTAAAACCACAACAAACCACCGCTGCATTCCAATTAAAACAGCTAAAATCCAAAAACCCGACAATAGCAAATGCTGACAAGGATATGGAACAACAGGAACTCTCATTCATTGCTGGTTGGGATGCAAAATGTTACAGCTACTTTGGGAGAGGATTTGGCAGTTTGTTATAAAGCTAAGTATAGACTCACCCTATGACCCATCAGTCAGACTCCTAAGTATTTATCTAAGCAATTTGAAAACTTTTGTCCACCAAAAAAAAAAAAATCTGTACATAACAGTTTATTGTGGTTTTATTCACAGTTACTAAAAACTGGAAGCAACTAAGATGTCCTTCCACAGGGGAATGGATAAACAAACTGGTACATCCATACAATGGTATATTATTCAGCAATAAAAATGAATGAGCTATTGAATCACACAACAACATGGTTGATCTTAAATGCATTGTAGGAAGTAAAAGAAGATCCAAAAGACTACTTACTGTATGATTCTATCCATATGACATTCTGGAAAAGGCAAAACTATAGGGATGGAAAACATATTAGTGATTGCCAGGAGATGGGGGAAAGGGGTGTGGTTGACTACAAAAGGGATGTACCGGGGAACTTTTAGGTGAAGGAACTATTCTGTATGATTCCAGGGTAGGTGGTGAATACATGAATCTATGCATTTATCAAAGCCCACAGAACCATAAATCATGAAAGGTGAACTTTAATGTATGCAAAACTAAAAAAAGAAAAACAATGAACCAGGATGTGAGGGAACCCCAAGATGGAATATAGACTGTGACAAATAAATCTATCTGTATTATAAATGTGTGACATAACTACACTGAGTGGGTAAGGAAAAAAAGGAGGAGCTTACCTAAGGTAAATAACTTTGGAAAATGGAATTTTGACTAGAAACTGTAAGGCTAAAGGCAAAACACCTACATATAAACACTGTACTCTAGTTGGTAAATTTGTTTTTCACAGGAGTATGGGTTAACAATTCTGAAACTGTTTTACATGTATACTGTGGTTGAACAAATAAGGAAATGGATAGCAGATGGTGAGAGCCAGGATTCTCACTGTCTTTATTAGTTTCTATTGCTATAACAAATCACCACAAACTTAGTGGCTTAAAAATAACATAAACATATTATCTTACTGTTCTGGAAGTCAGAAGTCCAAAATCAGTCTCACTGGGCTAAAGTCAAGATGTCAGCAGGGCTGGTTCCTTCTGGAGTCTCTAGGGGAAAATCTGTTTCTTTGCTTTTGCCAGTTTCTAGAGGCTGCCTGCATTCCTTAGCTAATGGCCCCTTCCTCCATCTTCAAATCTAGCAGCATAGTGTCTTCCAATCTCTCTCGCTTCAGTTATCACATCACCTTCTCCATCTTTGACCCTCCTGCCTGTCTCTCATAAAGACTGTTCTGACTATATTGGTCCATTGAATATTCCAGTATAATCTCCCCAGAACAATGTCCTTAGCTTAATCATTGCAAAGTCCCTTTGCCATTTAAAGTAACATAGATTCTGGCGATTAGGATGTGGACATCTTTGAAGGGTCATTATTCAAATCCACCACACTGTCAGAGAGAACAGTTACAGCTAAGCAAGAAAGGAAAGCAAGAATGAACCCTGTGGAACTGATTAGATTCAGAGACATCAGTATGAATTCATGTTTAGTTTGATAGATAAGATAGATATAGAAACAATTACATATATATGTGTGTGTATATACATGATTTAGTGTGTATTCATATATTATGTAGCTCTGTTGACCAAAGGGCACTAGAAGTGATGACACTCCAGTAGCAACAAACACTCCCAACACCCAGATCTTGATTTCTAAATACCATTCTTCAATAAAAGGTAACAGGCAGGGCTCCTTGAAGAAATGACTGATTCTAGGGCTGGAACAAGGAAAATACAAGATGAGGCTAGAGCATCTTGTAGTACCAGAAAGTAAGAAATGCTCAAAAAAAAAAGGATGAGAACATGTCAAAGGGGTACAACAGCCAACCTGAAAGAGCTCTCAGTGGCCAAAACTGGAACAATTTAAACAAAATAAATAGCATAGTATTGGATTATAACCCAAAGTATGAAATAAATATACATGAGTACATACAGATATATAAGTAAGTGACTGAATAAATAAATAAGGGAGAAGAAACAAAATTTCCTTACAAAAGAAATCCACATAATATATGTAGATACTCCCCTCTCCAGGAGGTAGAATTTGATCCCTTTCCTCTGAAGGTGGCCTAGACTCCGTGACACACTTCCAAAGAATATACTAGAAAAAGAGAGAAAAATAATAACTTTACAGTGGAGATATCTGACAAACAACTCCAACAACAGAGTGATGGTTAACATCACCAGTGATGTCATAGGGATATCATGTATCCCTGATACGATGTCATGAGAAGGACATTTCACCTCTGTGATATTCTTACCAATAACCCATAACCACGGTCTAATCATGACAAAAAACATCAAATCCAAATTAGGGGAAAGTTTACAAGACGTTTGGCCAGTATTCCTCAGAAGTATCAAGGTCATGAAAAACAAGGAAAAACTTAGAAACTGTCACAGACCTAGAGGAGACTAGAGAAACATGACATCTAAATGCCATGTGGTACCCTAGATTAAATCCTGGAACAGAAAAAGTACATTAATGGAAGAACTGATGAAATCCAAAAAAATCTGGAGTTTAGTTAGTAACAACATACCAATGTTGACTTCTTAGTTTTAACAAATGTACAATGGAAATGTAAGATGATAACAATGGAGAAAATTGGGTAGTGGCATATGGAGATTCTCTGGACTATCTCTGAAATTTTTTTGTAAATCTAAAATTATTCAAAAATAAAAAAATTTTATTTTTAAAAAATGGCTAACCTAATATTTCTGACCACCTAAATAAACTAGTTCAAAAATTCCAAGGCCCACATGAAAATCTGTTACATACTGACAGTGTGTATGGATTCAAA